TACAGAGCTCAGAGTTCGACCCGCCGGTTCAGATCAAACCTGTCATGACAGTGCCACAGGAGCATGCTGTGAGTAAGTGTAAGAGAGTCACCCTTATTTTCCTCTCTCCCTTTTGAGCAGACAGTTCCTTGTCTCTGCGCTTCTTTGGTGCCATAGACCCGCTTAAGCAGAGGCCTTCTACATGGGGTTCCTGTTTCTGTACATTACTACCTCGTGCTGGGAGAGCAGCTCTTATTACACTTTGTTGTCACGAAGAAATCCGAACGATTGACAGCAGGGCAGTGCGGTTGTACTTGTTGGTGAACAAGAGATTAAATAAGTGCTTACTGCCGTGCCAGTGTCTTTTAATAATCATTTGAAAGGATTTTTTCAACATTGGGACCTACTGGAGTACACATTAATTTTTGGTGAAGTCTGTTTGTATGTTGATTTTCCCATTGCTTTTGATATATATTAGCGATACCGATCAATCAAATGAGCTAGTTTGTCTATGCAGGCATATTATTCGGGATGATGGGGGCTCTTCTGTGCAATATGGCTGTAATCTGCACCCCTGTATAACATTTACCTTTCATTACTCCTATCCCAAAGTACTTTATTGTGCAGCCCGATAAGATTAAATCTTACAAAAAGCCCCAGGAAAATTAGAGAGAAACTGAGCCACAGTTGGGGTCTCTAATATCCCCTAGAAGCTGTTGTGTAGCCCGAAGTTAGTGCATTGCCTCTGAATGCTGGATCACCCCTTCCCACAGGTGGCAGGTCTCTCTACCAGTGTGTACAACTCCTAGTCTGACCTCTGCTTTCAGTGCTTAAGAACACATTAACCATCAGACTTACACAGTAGGCCTATGGTGTGCTGTGTTCCTGGTGTCATTTCTACTTTAGAGTTTCACCTGGGAGAGGTGGATTTTGGATTTGCAGAAACAGCATGTAAACAACAGGCATCATTAAAAGCTTTTGGCATCATAGCTTGTAAAATAAAATCCTGCACAACAGAAATGTTTTGCAAAGTCTCTTGATGTTGCCGTTTGCTGCAAAACTTTGCAAAAATGCCTCATATCTATTTCAAGCTCATAGAGCTGCCTTATCAGTGCCACGTTATCAATGAAGCAGTGGATTTAGCTTTATTACACTCACGCCAATCCCTCTGGAAAAATGCACAAGTCTAGTATTTACTCTCCAGCCATTACAAAATAAGCACTAATGCTGTCTGTATGCTTCAAACAGTAAACAATTAATGATTGTTAGGTCGCTAAAATATTACCCTTCCTATTAATCCAGCATGAAATCAGTCTATGCACTGATCCCGGTTTCTTGATCGTGGCTGAGTATATTTACACTTTTCAAGAGCAGGGTCATCTGGCGATCAGTGCAGCACAGTGTGAGTGTTAGTGTAGCTGTCAGAGCGGACCTCAGCCAGCATGATCTATAATCGCTGTGCTGAGCGCCTGGAGAATCCTGCTGCGTCGGGGCAGGGCTCCAGCGCCGGGGCTCTGGGCTGAGTGCCTGGCAGTGCACAGCAGGGCACATACCCCTCTTTCATCTGCCCCCTCGCAGCCAGTGAGACGGGCAGCACGCGTGCACTGCCAGAGCCTCTTGAAATAGCTTGGTGCGGTCACCAGCCCCTGGAGCTTAACAAGACACACGAAAGGCCGGGTAGTTGGTCGTCCACGCATAGCCTGCAAGAAAGAACCAAAACTTAATATCAGAGGTCCTTCATATCCAAAAGGCTGAAATTCCAGATCTTGGGAGGGAATGTTTTTGTGTTTGGCACAGTTGAGGAATTTTAGCCGGGTTCCGAGTGTTTATGTAACAGGGCTCAGCGAGTTAGAGTTACGGGCGGGAAACTCCTCCTGAAATCTAGACAGTGCAGGACTCTGCGCCGCGGAGTTGTCTGTGGTCTAGGAACCAGCGCTGTGCCTCCTCCCAGCGCCTTGAGCATCGGGGCTCGAATCCGGGCCGGGGCAGGGAGAGCTGTGCTCATTGCATTCGAGGAGAACTGGAGCGAGAGACTGCAGAGCCCGAGCTGTGAGAAGTGGCCCTGTCAGTGCAGCGCCGGGCTAGCTCCTGAGGTGACTGGGGGCAGGGAAACAGCCAGGGTGGGGGACTCTGGAGAGGCAGAGGGCTGCTCCGGAGCAGATCTGACCACGAGCACCGGATATGAGAGCCTGCAAAAGACGGAGCGAGTGCTGGAAAATGACTGGCTCTTCTGGGGCGCGGAACTGCACAGGGACTACACAATATCCTTATCGGAACGATCGGAGGAAACTTTTCAACTCAGTGTTGTCTGTCTGTCAGAACACTTTGGCCTTGCAGCTCAGTGTGTGTTTGTATTTGAAGCTATGAGCTTTTGTTAAATTCATGCCTAATTTGCCTATGCAACTCAGATGAAGAAACCCACTTTGTTTTTACCGTGCTGTCTGTGTCAGCACTTGTCAAATTAATCTGTAATAAAGTTCTGCTCGCCTCATTAGGGCCTGGCTAATGAGTGCCAGGGCTGGACTTTGAATACACCACATGTGTGCCTGTGTGTTGGAGTCTTGCCATCCCCAGCTTCTAACGGTCACAATAAAGCAATCAAGGGCTGGGCTCGAGCCGTTGAGCCAAAGGCAGTTCATTGCCAAGGCAAACAGAGCTTGATGTCCCCCCCCCCCTTCCCCCCAGCTCTTGATAAATAGGAGATGGTGCTCGAACGAAGACAGCCGCCTTCGCTGTGCTGTGTACAGGCGCGTCAGCGCAGCAGTCTGCAGGAAACAAGAGGAAGTCCAGTTTGCGTTTTGCTTTATTTTTAGTTGCTCGTGTGCGGCTCATTCCGGTTGGTTCCTGTGCCTCCCCTCGGTGGCTGCGGGGGGGGGGCGGCCGGCCTCTGCCGGCCTGGCTGCGGTTTCCCAGAGAGCCAGAGCCGAGAGAAAGGGCCTTTCCGTCGGGCAGGCTGGCTGGCAGACTCCCTCCTGATCCCCCGTCCAGTTTCCCTGAGGACAGCAGGGAAGGCCCCAGTTCACGGTTCTAGTCTAGTTCCGTCTAGAAAACCGACTCGAAACGGTCAGCCCAAAGGTGCGGCGAGGCTTTATTTCATGTGCCTTAATATTCCATTGCTGCGCAGTCGCGTATGAATACATGCTGGGGGTGGAGACCTGGTGGCCATGAGCACTAATAAAAGGTCCTCCACTACTGTACGTCCTGCACGTCCGTGCGGAGAGAGGTGTAGTCCTGTAGGGCCTCCGAGGTGGAGAGGTCTTCCCATGTGCAGAGTAAATGGAAATAAAACGGGTTCTGGAACACAGGAAAGCATTTCTTGTGCTTCACATGAACTTAAAACCAATGTAGACATTCGCGAAGCTCAATCATACATACTTTAATGGCGCATTTATCATAAAAAAAAAATTGACGTGAATTTTGACAACATGGGAATATGTTTCCAGGTCGCATTGATTCCCATGTTGGTTCTTTCAGGGGTGTCCACACCTGGGCCCCCTCGCTCTGACCCGTCCCAGGCCTCCGGGGCCGGACGGGAACCGGTCGGTTCTCACCGCCGCGGGGGGACAGCGAACCCCTCTTCCTCTCGCGTGGAGACCGGCAGACGTGTTGGTTTTAGAACGTGGGTCTGTGTTCCCTGGTGAGGTCTGCGGGGGTGCAACTCAGGCTGGACTGTGAAGGGTGCTTTATCAGCCAGAGAGGTAGGATACTACAGAAAAGCTGGCCCTACTTCACCCTTAACACTAATGAGGGAGAGTGCTTTTAAAC